TTTCAAAACTTCTTGAAGAGAACCGTTCCTTACTAGCGATTTTGGAATGAAAATTATTTTTGAGATTTGCCAGTCTCACTTGAACACAACGCAAGTCTGCAATGGACATGTGGAATTGCAATAAACTCCCCCTCAAAAGCTCCCAGTCAAATATAGTGTCCAATCTGTGCAACTTAACAACTGTCATTGAATACTCTCTATCACATGTAGTGTTTATCGGTGTATGCTTATCAAGAGTTTAGACCTGACAGCTACTAAATACTGCCATTTAAATCGATTTTAAGGGTTACACATGCGACTTCAAAGAACAATAGCAGAAAATGTTTAAATGCCAGTATAAAGGCTGTATTGCTATTAAAATCAATGCTATCAAGTTCAACATAAGTATTTACATGGAGCCCTTCTTTTTGAAACACAACAGTCAAACCATGTCATAAGTAGTGTATTGGGTAGAATATGGCTCAACGCGTCGTGGACAACCTACAAAACGACTATCTCATCTGCAGTATTTGTCTAGGACGTTATAACGATCCCCGTCTTCTACCCTGTGGACATACTTTTTGCAGACAGTGTCTTTCTGATCACATCGATCAATCAGTTCGAAGTGCAAATGCGGATCACTTCAAATGCCCAAACGATCGCGGAGACGTCAGACGACCAGGACCAAACGTCCCTCTCCGTCAATGGGCTGACAAATTTCCTGTGGATACTTTCATCTCAAGCCTTCTTCAGGCTGTTCAACATCATGAACAGGGACCAACGCCTTCAGAACCGGAGGTCAATGCCAGACCTAGAAGAGGTCCCGTAAATCCTAGACCCAGGCCACAACAAACCCAACGACCAGGAAGAGGTCCCCAACAGAACCCAGCACCACCTCCACCTCAACACGAAAGTAATGGACTGACGTGCTTAGAACACCCTGCAAGACAACTAGAATTCTTTTGCCTAGGATGTTCAATTCTAATTTGTTCTCACTGTGCAGTTCAGAATCACAGACGTCCTAGATGCGAATGCTTGTCCACTGAAGAAGCACTGAGAAAATTGTCACCAAAGTTAGAACAGTTAAAGACTAAATTCCAAAACCAACTCTCGTACATACAGGATTTGAATAGAAATGGAATGCCCTTTGATACTGAACTGGAAAACAGCAAAGCAGAAGCTTTTAATTATTTGTCTTCTGTCGAAAACAGAGTTAGCGAATTTACACAACAGTGTCTTCGTGAAATTGAAAATTTGAAATCCACAGTGAGAGAAACTGGACAAAATATACCGAGAGAAGATGGAAACATGGCTTCATTACTTAGCAGACTACAAGAAACAAGGCAAGGTTATGAAAGCATTTTCAATGCACCGCCAGGTGAAAATTTTCTGAGGAATTTAAACAGATATGAGGTGCAGGCCGATACATATGAATCGGAAATCGAGAGAGCGATCTCTAACAATCCTGTGCCTCAGATGGATCTTGTCACTAACGCAGCATTTCAAAACTTTCTGAGAAACCCGCCACCAGTCGCCCGCATGGAAATCAAAGAACTAACCACGGCGAGGCAGCCCCGACAGCAAGTAAGAAGGGAGGCCACATTTACCATGTCCAACGGACGGAGAAACCGATCCTCACGATGAAACCAAACATTTTTATGTTCCACTTGAAACAACGTGTAGACTTAAGATTTTTGTGCAAAAAAAGTAACAATATATAATTTTAATTTAATTTATGAAAGGTTACATTATCTTGCATATACAAACACATGCTTACATGGGATGCTGATAACCTACGTATACTCAACCTTTCTACAGATCTTCTAGGAACCATTATAGTTATATGTTATGTGTACCAATATTCAACTTACTTTAAAAGCATATGCATGGTGTTGAAAGCTCTGAGAGTAATTGTAGAAAATAAAGGGTGAAAGGAAAAATTACAAAAACCTTTAATGGCTTCTTCGAAAAAGCTAACAACTTTCAAAATATTTTTAATCCAGAAAATAACATTTAATTTTTATAATCAGGGTGTATTTTTCCACATTTTTCGTCCACTCTTAAGAAATAACGTAATAATGATCAATTGATTTTCCAAGTGAGTGCTAGTGGGTCAGCATCAGAGCGATGACTAGGAGTTTGTCTACTGTTGTAATGTTATGTCTCCCCAGGAGGAGGCGTACCCCGGCCCCCAAGGCGTCCTGTTTACTGTAGGGGCTATGGAGGTCCTCCACTGGTGCAGCCCCAACCACCCTGAAAACGATTAAAAAATTTTGTTTCACAAATACGAAGAATAAAATAGAAATATCTGTATTATATTATTCCTGCATGAAAAAGGTGATATCAACAATTTTTAAGATAATGAAATGTGGCCTACCGTCTAATTAATTCACAACCAGCAAACCCAGCCATTTCAGATAGTAGTTTATCTTGGTAGGACTGTAGCTCTCCAACAAAACTCGTCATTTCCTTAAGGTATTTGTTTACTGAAGAAAAATGTTTATTTGGTTCAACAAGTATTTCTTACCTTATTAAATAAAATAACTGTAACCCATCACATTTCTATACTATTACCTGTCACTTTGCATGCCTCTATCATGAGTTGCGCAAACTTTCTATGTCGATCGTGGTCTTCTGGTATTGACATGTGGCCATAATACGAGAAAATGTAATTGGCAAGAAGAAGCCCAATATCAAAAGCTGGAGGCCCCATGTATGCAAATTCCAAGTCTATGATCTTTAAAAAAAGTAATGTTGAAGTTCAGCCTTCAAGGATGTGTAAAGATTTGAATTTAGAATTGATTGACAATAGAACCCCTATATCCGTTTATAACATCAATACAGAGCGTTTTAATATCTTTGCTTTCCATGGATCATTATTCACAAGAAAACATTGATGTAACCATCAATTGTCGCCCGGGAAATATATATATTAAACAATGGAAATAAGTTCTTGATCATCAAACCGCTTTGATGTGTGTGAAAAGGCATGCGTCTAATTGATGGAGACGATAGTGGCGAATATTTTGAAAACTCATAGTCGGACAAGTAGAGCTTTTCAAAAAAGCTAACCGTCTTTAGCAACAATTTTAAACAGTAAACAGATTTACACTTAACAGGCCGTATAATTCTTTTGAATTTCTTGATTTTGTATTTCTAAATTAGCTTTTTACGGGCATTAGCCCTACCATGGTTGTCGCTCGGTCATCTCCGTAAACTTTGACTGGCCGAGAGCTTTCGGCAAACCTCGGCTGATTCCCATTCACTCTTCAAACAAGAAAGGGGAAAAGAATAATAACAAATTGTAAAGCCTGCAAGCAATAACTATCATATTTTATTTATAATGAAATTAAAGAGACCTTTTTATTTATTGCTATAAAAAATATCATGTTATTAAGAAATAATTACTGCTGATTTTGTTGTTCGTTTTGTCATTTTTTTAAGATTGGAAATAAGTCGTACGAAAAATAGATCATCAGAAAGTTATCTCCCTTGCCTTGAACAGCATTTCATCCAATGAAATAATTGAAAATTTTCTCATCATGCAATTTCTACCAATCACAAAAGAGAGGAAGTGCATAGTCCGAAGACTGTAAAAAACTTCAACTATACAATACCGTCTTCCAAGGAAGACGGTAATAAAAAAATGAAACAAAAACGGTACCATTTTTAAACTTGATCAATTCCTCAAGTAAATGTTGGCTGCATAAAATATAAATTGAAGTTAGACACATGCATCAACTATATTCAAAAATGTATTTTAATTTTCAATTTTCGAATATAAAACACGAACTGTGCAGAGTACGTTTTTATGCGAGAAGTAAAATTCGATGTTCTAAAAAAAGGAACCTGTCATTTTTTCCATAGTAAATGATAAGCAACTTTATATATTAAATATGAAAAACATATATATTTTTACAGATTCACTTTATGAAATTAAATATATTATGTATCTCCTAATCTATAAGGGAAAGAACAATCTGATTAACAATCTTTTCAATGTTTAGAAAACCTTTAACTCTGAATAACTACTCCCGCCCCAATCCCCATACACCAACACTTAAACGGATATGTATAGAGCAGCCCGGTCCTCCGGGCTGCAATAAATTGCTGAAAATTTTGCGTCGAAGTCACCACAAAGCAGAACAATCCAAAGAGCATACCTATAATTCAAGATATTATTTACGGCGCCGCTGGAGGGCCAGGTAAAAAAATATTTTTATTTGTTCGGACAAATTAGAAATTCGTTCGGACGAATTAGTTATTTGTTCGGACGAATTAGATATTCGTTCGGACAAATTAGTTATTTGTTCGGACGAATTAGATATTCGTTCGGACAAATTAGAAATTCGTTCGGACGAATTAGAAATTTGTTCGGACGAATTAGTTATTTGTTCGGACGAATTAGATATTCGTTCGAACAAATTACAAATTCGTTCGGACGAATTAGAAATTTGTTCGGACAAATAAGTTATTTGTTCGGACAAATTAGATATTTGTTCGGACAAATTAGAAATTCGTTCGGACGAATTAGAAATTCGTTCGGACGAATTAGAAATTCGTTCGGACGAATTAGTTATTCGTTCGGACAAATTAGATATTCGTTCGGACAAATTACTTATTTGTTCGGACGAATTAGATATTCGTTCGGACAAATTAGAAATTCGTTCGGACGAATTAGTTATTTGTTCGGACGAATTAGATATTCGTTCGGGCAAATTAGATGTTTGCACAAATTATCCTTTAAAGAGAGATATACACTTTGTCTATTCAGGAGGATTCATCCTTTTTTAATACATAAATAGTTCTTTGGACCATGACATACACACGTAGCAACTAGACATGTGATATTAAAGTCGGGTATGTTGATTGTAAATATTCGGAAATAATGGATCTATACCGGTATATATTATAGGCCTAAAGTCTGCCATTCTGAAAGTATATTTTCTGAGAGCCCACTAGTAAATTCAATTAAAGGGTCAGTTACTTCTTATCAAACATCTTTTCACTCCCATCCCTGATTAACACTGGGGTGCCAGTGGTCAGTTACCGCTTCTTTGAAAAGATGAGATCCACTCCTTAAGGTTTTACTCCTACTGCAGGCAATTGGTTCGGGAAAAAATTGACATTGAAAAAGTAACCCCCCCCCCACCCCCTTGAAATAGGACTGTCAACTTTGGGCAACTTTTCCTGAGTCACCCCCTTTTTTTTGCTTGTCAACTTTTCAGGTAGCTATTTTTTTCTCAGCCCCCCCCTTTCACAAACGATGCTACGTGGCTGCATTGTATTATATTGAATAAACTTCGGACTCAAAATGTCGAGCCTCTTATTCGAGGGTCTTAATTTTTTTAAGGTGGGGCTTACTAGCTAGGACATTTGTAGATTTGCTTCTATACCGCTGTTCCCACATTTAAGTATTTTGTGATAAAGGGAAAAAAAGAGAATCCAATGGATTCTTTCTAAGATCGTTAAAAACTATTATTAAGTATCTATATAAATTTTATTTTATTTTATATTTAAATATCAGAAAAGCGCATGAATTAAAACATGCAGATACATGTATAATATTGACCAAATTAAACACACGCCCCTTTCCGGGAAAAGGATAAAAATAGATGAATACATGTACGTTCCTAGAAAGTGCAGTAAAATTTAAAAACACATCATAATTTAATGCAAGTTAAGGTTCTCAATGATTAAGACAATCGATCGTTTTTTAAATAGAGGAGGGGGGGGGGGTTGTTACTTGAAAATATTTTGACATTCATTCATGATTTATTTTCCCCGTAAAAGGGGTTGCTTTCATAATTTCCCTTTCTATGTGAGTCATTGGCCTATCAAACCTTCGAAATGGAACTCAACTGTAAAAGCGTATAAACAAAATTAAGAAATACTGAAAGTGAAATTAAATAGTTTGTTCGACTACATGTACCTCTCCAATAACGGGAGGGGGCTATAGTTATGCTCTGAAAATCAATGGACTAGGGAATATACCAGATTGATCGGTTGACCTCGTAATTCACCGGCTCGCGAGTCATATGAACAACCTGGGATCAATACGAACAGGTTCATTTTTGTGAAGTTTTCTAAATTCACAAACAGGAATATTTAATTAAAAACTCAATGAGGACCTTTTAATCATTTTATACACTGCATATGTACCAGATTGATTGATTGATTGAATGTTTTACGCCGAATCGGCAATATTTCAGCTACAAATCGGCGACATATGTATCAGAAATGTATTTAAAAAATCATTCACATGTCATGATTAATAACTGCACGGTAGTGAATATGTACAGTACATAAAAATCATAAGAAAGAGATCAACATTAAAACGACTTATCTTCAAAATATTTATTGATAAAGTTGTTCATTAAAGTTATTTTGCAAAGAATCAAAATAAAATGAAACGTCTTGGTGCAAACCGCACATTATTCGCGGTGTCCTGATAGTTGTTCACAATTTCTCTAATTTGTCCGAACAAATAACTAATTCGTCCGAACAAATTTCTAATTCGTCCGTACAAATAACTAATTTGTCCGAACAAATTTCTAATTCGTCCGAACGAATTTCTAATTTGTCCGAACGAATATCTAATTCGTCCGAACAAATAACTAATTCGTCCGAACGAATATCTAATTCGTCCGAACAAATATCTAATTTGTCCGAACGAATTTCTAATTTGTCCGAACAAATATCTAATTCGTCCGAACAAGTATCTAATTTGTCCAAACGAATTTGTAATTTGTCCGAAAGAATATCTAATTCGTCCGAACAAATATCTAATTTGTCCGAACGAATTTCTAATTTGTCCGAACGAATTTCTAATTTGTCCGAACGAATATCTAATTCGTCCGAACAAATATCTAATTTGTCCGAACAAATAACTTATTTGTCCGAACAAATAACTAATTCGTCCGAACGAATTTCTAATTT